CGTGGCATGCGCAAGGCAGAGGGGTGGAGGGAGGGGCCACGTGCGAGCCTGGGCCCCCGCCCCCCACGATGTCTGAGGGGGAGGGCGGGCTTCGCTTCGCTCGGGGGCTCCCGAGCGAGGTGAACCCCAGCCTCTCCCCCAGAATCTGCACGCACGAAATGGGTACTGAAAGAATGGGAACAGGACTCGCTGTCGGTGTCGCCGCGGCCTGTGCCCATTCAAGACAGAAGGCCGCCTGCCCAACAGCGGCCGCTGTTGGTTTGGGACAGCATTTGTTGTTGGGCATTGTACCCATTCTTTCCGTGCCCATTTCGGGCGTCCAAACAGAAATCGTGGGGGGTGGGGGTAGGGTTCGCATGTGGTCCCCTAGTGGAGGGAGGCTGGGTTTCACCTCGCTCGGGAGCTCCCGAACGAGGTGAACCCCAGCCTCTCCCCCCAGAAATCGTGGGGGGTGGATGACGAAAACTGTTTGCGAACCCATCCAAGTTCGGATACGGCCAGGACCCCAGGTACGATTAAGTCGGGCCTGTCCCTCTACAGGGGGAAAATTCAGAAGTAGGCAAACAGATAGTCTGGGACCTTTTTGTTCTTACACTTGTTATATATTTGTTAAGGTATTTGGGGATATTTTGCATTTTCCGTTCAAAGTCGGCCTGTAGGGGGGCAGGCCCGATTTGAAGGTACGGGGACCCGGTTAGTGGTAGGGCCCCGGAGCCCCTAAGTTGGCCAGAGTCACTCAGCCAGGCCTGCCGTAGCTCGTTTTTTGAGGGTGACGGCAGTTCCGGCCAGTGGAACGGGGCGGGGGGGCGTCCCCCAGGCCACATCATTACATGTTAAGTCGGGCCTGTCCCTCTACAGGGGGAATATTCAAACATAGTCAAAAAAATCGGGTGGACTATTTTTTTTAATATTTTTTGATACTTCTGGAATATTTCTTGAGTATTTTTATTTTTCGTCGAAAATCCCCCTGTAGGGGGACACGCCCGACTTAACACTACAGTCGGGGCGCTGAAGAAGGAGCCCTTTGCGTTGGGGAGGGGCTCCGTGTTCCTTAACTGTTTCAAAGCTTGCCTTCTGTCTTCCGTAGGTTTTCGATCGGGGATCGAAGTGTAACTCCTGGAGAAAAGGAGCCTCGTTCCTTATTTGGGGTTCCTTAGGTCAACGCCCCGACTGTGGTGGATGGAGGGAGGCACCATTTTTGGATATGTATATATACATATATACACTTTGGGAGTATTGTTTGAGTATGTTTTATTTGTCGTCGAAAATCCCCCTGTAGGGGGACACGCCCGACTTCACACCAGCGGAGGGAGGCCGGGACGCCGCCGCGGGGAGCCCACCCCAGGCGTGCGGGCGGCGCCCGCGAGGCGGCAGCCGCCGCGCGGCAGCGCGGTGCGGCCTCGGCGGGCCCGCCCCGCGCACGGGGCGCCCCCGGGCCGGCGTTGGGCGGCAGCGCGACGACGAAGACTCCTACAGGGAGATTTTCGACGACGACGACGACGACGGCCTCGGCGGCAGCGCCCCCGGGCCGGCGTTGGGCGGCAGCATTATGTCGGGCGTGTCCCCCTACAGGGAGATTTTCGACGAAAGATAAAAGATGCCCCCTAAAATACATTAAAAAGATGTTAATCTAGGCCTCCTAGATGGGGTCGGAGGATCGCGCCGCATCGCCGATACATCGGCGATGCGTCGGCGATGCGGCTCGATGTGGGGCCCGGTTTTCTCCACGCCAACGTCGCCGATGCATCGTTGACGTCGCCAGTGCATGGCCGATGCATCGCCGATGCATCAGCGACCCCATCTACTCGGACCCCATCCAGGAGGCCGCTAGTTAAAAAATATTCAATCAATAGTCCCCAGATTATTGTTGGATGATTTTTTGATTATTTTTGGGGTACCTTTTTTTTTGTCGACGATCCCCCTGTATGGGGGACAGGCCCGACTTAACTCAAGCAGTGGCGAAGCGTCCTGGCTCGCCTGTAGCCCTACCAAACAATGTTATAGGATCCTGTTTGTGGTTTCCACGAGGTGTTCTTAGAACAGTTCTGGCGGAGTCTGTCTTGTTTGAACACATCGGGCTCCTGTTCTAGGAACATTGCTTTTTGGGTTCCAAGAACATGTCGTGGTAGGACTACAGGAATGCCGGGACGGTCGGTCCCAGCTCAAAAGATTGTTTGCGAACCCGTCCAAGTCCCTCCCCCGATGCTGTTCCAACCCACTTTCGCCTGGAGCACCAGAAACAATCTGGAGCGCCAGGAAAAATAACCGAAACTCGATGGTTTTCACGTGTCGGCGGCAGCGCGACGACGAGAATTGTTTGCGAACCCGTCCAAGTTCAGATACGGCCGGACCCCAGGTGAGGTTAAGTCGGGCCTGTCCCTCTACAGGGGGAATCTATTCAAGAATAGTCAAAAAGATAGTATGGAGACTATTGTTTGACCATGTTTGAGCATTTTTTGGGGGTATTTTGGGTGAACCCATCCAAGTTCTCGACTAGACGTAAGAGTGGCCTTTCGCCCGAGTGACCTTTGGTGCGGGCCCAATGGGGTCACCCGATCGCTGAGCGCGATGCGATAGCAGCGTCTTGCGCTCTTGTGTTGGGCCCCCCCGCGGCCCCCAAAAAGCCGCGCACCAAAGGTCACCCTTACCCAGGGTCACTCTTTGCGTGTAGCCGAAAGTTCGGATACGGCCAGGACCCCAGGTAAGGTTAAGTCGGGCCTGTCCCTCTACAGGGCGAATCTATTCAAGAATAGTCAAACAGATAGTCCGGGGACTATTGTTTGACCATTTTTGAGCATCGTTAGGATATTTTGGAGGTATTTTGCATTTTTCGTTCAAAATCGGCCTGTAGGGGGACAGGCCCGATGATGTTCCAACCTACTTTCGCCTGGATCACCAGAAAGGATTTCGAGCGCCAGGAAAAAGAGCCGAAACTCGACGGTTTTCACGTGTCGGGCCCTGGGAGACATTCGCCCGACACTCTTCCGACACTCTTTCGACACTTTTCCGGGTGCTCGAAATTATTTCTGGGATGTGGTCTTTAAGTACGATGGGGGCAACATAACCCTCCCCTTGAGATCCGACGTTGCAAAAATATATGCGACAGCGCAGCACAAGACAAATCACGACTGGGCCTGCAAGGCGCATGTCCCCCTAACAGGGCCTTTCCGAAATTAAAAAGAGGACACCCATTGTTTTGGAGGTCTCGCACACCTCTCTCGACGTTGACTTGTAAAGAGGTCGATGGGCCACTCTCGAAGCTGACTTTTACATTGAGGTTTCAAGCACTCGCTATTCTGACATATTCGCGACACGTCCTGCGTTAAGTGCAACCGCAAGAGATTCCCAAATCGCACAGGTATTGTTAGGACACAGCACCAGCACCCCAAGATACAGCAGTAACTAACGCGAATTGCCCACGCATCAGTTACACCTGACCCGACAGCGTTATCCGCAACGGAGGACGCGGGACAGAGTGAGGGGAGCGGGCCGTCACGGCGAGAGGACTGAGGGCGATTGGGGAGCAGGGGGACGGAGAGACATAGTGAGCGAAACCCCAAGCTGCTGTGGCTTGGGAGGGGACGGAGTGGGATCGGAGAAAGTGCGAAAACCCTTGATATTACCCACTCGTCCTCAAGCCCTACTTTCAACAGTTAGCCTCGCGATTCCAGCGCCCCCCCTCGCTTTCCAGCCCCCCGCGCACCCCGCTGGAGTAGCACTCGGAGGAAGAGCAGAAGGGGAGGTGAAGGAGAAGGAGGAGGTGGAGGAGGATCAGGTGGACGATGACGATTTCAGCGGCGACGCGCTCAAGGGCGTACGACGGGGACGAGGGTGAGGGCGGAGGAGACAGGACGATGATGAGGAGGGGGAGCAAGAGGGGGAAGGGCCCCTCAACCAGCGAGCGCGCGGGCAGTCATCCGCGCGGCGCTCTGGCGCCCTCCTCTGCGCGAGGGGGCGCGCCCGCGGGCGACGGAGAGGGGAGGGGGAAGGCCTCCAGCCCAGCCCTTCCGAGAAAGAGGGAGGAGTGAACTCGCCCTCCGCCCTACGGCCAGGGGGAGGGGCCAGGCGCCAGAAGAGAACGCCCAGCGTGGTCTAATCCATCGCAGCCTGCCTGGAACGTTCCGAGGCTTTCATTGCTCCCATGTCGTCGTAAAAACCGGTCCCGGGGCATGGGTCCACACCTTTGGGGGTCGACGTCATGAGAAAGCATACCGTCGGGGGTCCAGGATGTGGGCTTGCTTGCTTTGCCAACCGCCGCCAGAACGCCCCTCCGTTGGCAAACTGGCTCTTCTTCCCACCGTTGAGGTGGCAGCCCATGGCAGGGTTGTCAACCCGACCGACCGCGCATCTCCACGGCCAAGTCAGGACGCTCAGGAAGAACACCGCCAGCGGGCAGACCGACAGCAACCCGCAAGAGGGTGCCCACGCATCCCCGATGGCGCGACCCGTCAAGCGACCCCGATGGCGCCCCTGACCGTGCCCAGCGACCCCACGTACGCCTTGCGCACGCAGGCCTAATGTTATGATGTTCCAACCTACGTTAGCCTTGACCCTCGGTGCTCGAGCTTACTTTTGGGATGTGGTCCTTAAGTACGGTGGGAGCAACGTTAACCGAATGTAGCCTCCCAGGGAGCCCAACGTTGGGAGCCCAACGTTGGCCCTCTGGAGGAGCCCGCTGGCCACCACGGCTTGACTCCGACCGGATGCTTTTTGTGCATTTGGACCCTCGGAGATGTCTGGAGTGTGAGTTTGAGCCGCTGTGATTCAGGACGGGAAGAACACAGACACAAGTAATCGTCGATTTCCTACAAAATATGTAAAATATGGGAAGTGGGGGGGAAGACGAACCCCCCAAACAGTTTTTGGATGATATTGGGAATTTATGTGTGTATTTTTTTGTGTGTGTCCTGGGGCCCCTTCAGTGATCTCAACTCCCCCTCCTCCGACCATCGGTCGTGACGCACGTCGCTGCCGCAAACGGAACGGGCTTCGCGGCCGCGATGGCGAGCGGCGCAGTTGCGGTGCACCACCCGTGCCACGGGTACGAGCCGCGGCCAGAGGTGGGGCAGGCAGGCCTCAAGTATTTTAGCTCGGAGGACATCGCCGTGCACAGCGACTGGGGCGGCGCCGGCTGCTGGGGCCGGGCGCTGAATCAGAATTTCGTGCGCGGCAATTTCACCGCCACGCTGGGCAGGTCACTGGTGTGGTCGGCCTACACCAACGAGTCCGACGAGTCGGAGGGCCTCGTGGACGCTTTCGAGCCCTGGTCGGGCTGGTACTCTGGGCATCCAAATTGGGGTCTCCGAGTAGACGGGTCGGAGATCGCGCTCTATGCTCTATCGCCCATGCATCGGCGATACAGCGCGATGTGCAGCCCGATTGTCTCCACGCCGACTTCGCCGATGCATCGCCGACGGTGCCGATGCATCGGCGATGCACCAGCGATGCCTCAGGATCCCCGGACCCCATCCTATTCGAACCCCACTTCGGAGAGCCTGTAGGTACGCCGTGAAGGCGCCTGCGTGGGTCGTCGCGCACACGACCCACTTTGTGCAGGTCGGCTGGGCGGCGCTCCCCGCGAGCTCAGGCTCCAGCGGCATCCTGCGCAGGGGCGGTTCCTTCGTGACCTACCTGTCGCCGGGGCGGGACAACTTCACCGTGGTGTTGGAGAAACTGCACGGTGCATGCCGGCGCTGCGGCGAGACGGTCACAGGTGCCGAGACAGTCGTCTTCAAGCTCACAGGGGGCCTCATGGAGGCGGCCTGGGCGGCGCCGAACGGGGTCCTGGGCCTCTGGACGACGAACAAGACGCACACGGGCCTCTGGACAAACCTCACAGTCGACCCCGCCGACGGCACGTTTCAGTTCGATGCTGAGCCCGATTCCATCTACACCGTGAGCACGACGGTGGCCGAGTATGAAGCAGCAGTGCAAGCACAGAACTCTCGGAGGTCCGCGCGGCTCTCTTGGGCCTGGGCTGAAGCTGCCTGGCGGCGCCCCGGGTGCCCACCCCGGCCCAGGAAGGGCGGCCCAGCTCGGGGCTCACGAGACGGGGGGTTCATGCACACGGGGGTCGGTCAGAGCGCGGGATCTTGCAGGATGCTGCAGGGCCAGGGCTGCATTGACCTGGGCCCGGGTGCAGGAGCCTGCAGGACCATGCAGTGTCTGCCTGACCCGGGTCCGGATCGACCCGGGTGAATAGATCCCCGGCCAGCGCCAATCCAAGACATCCGCGCGGAGCTCCGACGGTTTGTGTGTTTATGCCTTTTGTCACCACCCACCAAACCACCTCAACCCAACCCGAAGGCTCAGATTTGCCCTCGATTTCAAGTAGGGGGGGGGGTCGGGAAACATCGAAAAACACATGTGGAACCCTTGCCCCCCCAACACGAAATTCGGGTCTTCGGGTTGTGTTGGGGTGGTCTGGTAGGTAGTCATTCTGTGCCATTCCAGGTGGGCAGCTCGCGCGGCAGCCTCGGGGCCGCGGGGCCGAACTCGTCCGCTCGCCCCGCGCCGTTCCCCGTGCCCACGTCGGCGGCGCGCACGTGCCCTCCCTGTCCTCCATGTCCTCCTCTTCCCTCCTCCTCCTCCTCCTCCTCCTCCTCCTCCTCCTTCCTCCTTCCTCCTTCCTCCTCCTCGTGCCTCCTCCTCCTTCCTCTCCTTTCCTCCTCCTCCTCCTCCTCCTCCTCCTCCTCCTCCTCCTTCCTCTTCCTCCTTCCTCCTCCGTCCGTCCTGCTCCGTTCTCTCTCCTCACTCCTCCGTCCACCCGCCTTGGCCAGAGGGCCCCCCTTGCTTCACAGGACGCCCTCCTGCCTTCCCAGGAGGCCACCCCCCTCGCGCCACCCGTGGCCGGGACGGAGGACGGAGGAGGACGGAAGAGAAGGAGGGAGGAGGGCGGAGGAGGAGGAGGAGGAGGAGGAGGAGGAGGAGGAGGAGGAAGAGGAGGAGAGGAGTATAAGGAGGAGGAGGAGAGGATGAGAGGAGGAGAGGAGGAGGAGGGGGAGGAGGAGGAGGAGGGGAGGAGGAAGGGGAGGAGGAGGAGGAGGAGGAGGAGGAGGAGGAGGAGGAGGAGGAGAGGGAAGGAGGAGGAGGAGGAGGAGGGGAAGAGGAGGGGAAGGAGGAGAGGAGGACAGGAGGAGAGGAGGAAGAGGAAGAAGAGGAGAGGAGGAGGACGAGAGGAAGGAGGAGGAGAGAGGGAGGAGGAGGAGGAGGAGGAGGAGGAGAGCGGAGGAAAGGAGAGGAGGAGGAGGAGGATGAGAGGAGATGAGGAGGAGAGGCGGAGGAGTGGAGTAGGAGGAGGAGGAGGGGAGTGAGGGAGGAGGGAGGGAGGGAGAGGGAGGGAGGGAGGAGGGAGGGAGGGAGAGGGAAGGGAGGAGGGAGGAGGAGCAGGGAGGAGGGAGGAGGGAGGAGGGAGAGGGGGAGGGAGAGGGAGGAGGGAGGAGGGAGGAGGAGGAGGGAGGAGGGAGGAGGAGGGGAGGAGGAGGAGAGGAGGAGGAGGAGGAGAGGGAGAGGAGACGAGGAGAGGACGAGGAGGAGGACGAGAGGAGGAGAGGAGGGAGGAGAGGAGGAGAGAGGCAGGAGGAGAGGAGAGGAGAGAGGAGGAGGTGTGAAGGAAGAGAGGGAGGCAGGAGGGAGGGGGGAGGGGGAGGGAGGGAGGCGAGGGCGGGAGGGCGGGAGGGAGGAGGAGGGGGAGGAGGAGAGGGGAGGAGAGGAGACGGAGGAGGAGGAGGGGGAAAGGAGAGGATGAGAGGAGGAGGAGAGGAGGGAGGAGGAGGAAGAGGGGAGGAAGGAGGAGAGAGGAGGAGGAAGGGAGGAGGAGGAAGGGAGGCGGAGGGAGGAAGATGAGGCGGAGGAGGGAGAGGGCGGAGAGGACGAGGAGGAGGAGGAGGAGGAGGAGGAGGAGGAGGAGGAGAAGGAGGATGAGGAGGAGGAGGCGGAGGGAGGAGGAGGAGGAGGAGGACGCAGGAGGACGGAGGATGTCGCAGGAGGAGGGGGCAGGAGGGGGAGGAGGGGGGAGGAGGACGGACGTAGGAGGACGGAGGGAGGCGGAGGACATGGAGGGCATAGGGGACGTGTGCGCGCCGCCGAGACATGGCCGACGACTTCGAGTCCTACGCCGATGGCGCCTCCCCGCGGCTCTTCGCGGACCTCGGCGGCTCCTGGCAGGTCGCGCCCAGCCCGGGCACCGGCCGCGCGCTGAAGCAGTGGGTGACGCGCCAGGCGGGCAGCAACCAGTGGGTCGCGGACGTCGGCGAAGATCAGTATCGTTTGAACATACCCATCGGTCGTTGAAAGTAGGTGTTTTTGGAGTCCCAGCTTCCAATCTACTTTAGGCGCCTTCCTACTTCAAGGATCGAGTGGCCTCACCTTTTCCGTCCTTCTCGGGGGGCGAACGGAGACCCAATCTACCTTCAACGCCTTCTTACTTCATGTGTCTGCGTACCTCTTCCGACCGATGGGTTGCCTCATCCCCGTCCTCAAATTCTCCTGGCCCACAGATCCGAGCCTTCCAAAACATCGGGGCGGTTCTGTTTCCACACAGCCTTCTGCTGCCTGCAGGGGGCCCCCCTCGGGCCCCGGGGCCGTCCACGAGCGCAACATCGGCCCCGGGGGAAGGGGCCCAGAACTCCAGGGGTCCACGCACGGAGGCATTGGTTTGCCGGACGTCTGGGCCCCCAGCCCGTTTGGTCAAGCAGTGGCGAAGCGTCCCGGCTCGCCGATAGCCCCACCAAAAAATGTTCTAAGAATTGTTTTGTGGTTCCCACGAAATGTTTTTAGAGCATTTCTGGCTGGGACTGGCTTGCTTTAACACATCGGGTTTATGTTCTAAGAACACTTTTTTTTGTTATCAGAACACTTTTAGCTTCTGAGAACACTCCGTGGTATGACTATAGGAATGCCGGGGCGGTCGGTCCTTGCTCAAGTTGGGCCTATGGTATCTCAGCCCCACCACCCGGAACCCGAAGCGAACAGCCAGTGGCCCCAGAGGGCTACGTCGGCCAGTCGGGTCCAGGCCACGCCACCGAGGATGGGGATCGGACAAACGATGCTGAGAGGAAACGAATATGTCTAAGCATACTACATGTTCGGAGCTTCGCGTGGGTTTTTTGGATCGGCGTTCGGGGGCCCTGGTGGCATGGCCGCCAGGGGGCGCCAGCGCAGATCCAAGGAATCCTCCAGGACTTCCGTAAGGTTCGGTCGGGCATGTTCTCCTACAGGCGGAAGTTGGGAAACATTTTAGAAGTACACCAAACATACCAAAACAAATGATACCGGAGAAAAACAACGATCATAATTAGTTTAGGGTTGTAGGGCTATAGGGCGATGGGGCTGTAGGGCTGTAGGGCTATCGGGCTACATGGGGTGTAGGGCTAGTAGGGCTATAGGGCGATAAGGCTATAGGGCTATAGGGCTACCGGGCACCTGGGCATCCAGGCACCCGGGCACCTGGGCACCCGGGCACCCCTGGGCCCCCGGGCGCCCCCGGCCACCCGGGCTCCCGGGCACCCACACCTCACCTGACCATATGAATCCGCTGGGGCCCTTGCAGAGGCAAGCTCTGACTGGAGAAGACTGGAACAGATGCTTGAAACATCGTCCCCAGATTATTTTTCTACTTTTGGGGGATCTTCCTCCTGTAGAGGGGCATGCCCGACTTCACCGTGAGGTTCTGCCTGTGCTGCCTCCTGTTCCTCCTAGGACACGGAGCCGATCACCGCGGTAGGGGTCGACCTCGGCAACGTCGCGGTGGCGGCAGAGGTTTTCCTCCCGAGCACCACCCGAGAATCGGGCAGTGCCAAAGGGGTCACCATGCGGGGGGTCACACATGTCGACTGTGGCTCGAAACGCGAGGAGGTTTTTCTGGTTATGCGGGCTCGTGGGGCCACCTAGAGGGTGCGAAGTCGGTCGCGCTTCGCGCTTCGCGGTCTGGGCGATTGCAGAGCGAGGCGCGAGTCCACCATCCTGCTCCCGGGGGGTGGGCGGAGAGGCGGCGCGAAAGCGCGAAGATGCAGGCAACCCGCATAGTGAGGATGAGCGAGTTCACCAGGTTTCCCTTGCGTCCTTTCCCCCTGTTCCTTCGGCTAATCCTTGGCCGCTCTCGCTCGCCGCGCCCCGCCCGCAGAGTGTGGGCATGGGTCTCCAGGGCCCTTGCATCCCTATCGTGCGTCCTGGCTATACGGGTTGACTGTGCAGTGGAAGCCCATGCCAAGAAGCACCCTGCTTGCCTCCAGGGTGCCCTGGGTTTCTTGGGTGTTGATGGCTCTGCCATGGGAAGCGCGACGTCCCCATGCCAAAAGTCAACGGACGTCCTGGGCTTCCAGGGTTGGGTTTCAGTCGGGCCTGTCCCTCTACAGGGGGGCAATTCAAAAGTAGTTAAAACATAGTCGGGTGACTATTTTTTGGCTCTTTTTGAGCACTGTTGGAGTATGGTTTGAATATCTGTAATTTTTCGCCCAAGATTCCCCTGTACGGGGACAGGCCCGACCGAAGGTTGGGTTTCTCGCGGAAGGCTTCTCCGGGGCTCTGCTGCAGCGCGGCGCCCCCGCGCCGCGCGGAGCGCCGCAGCGCGAGGGCAACTGGTGGCCCCAGGGGCTCGCTGCTGTGGGCTCCTCGGGCTGCTTCCTGTGGGGCCCCGCCCCTCGAGGTACGTCGGAAACTGGGGCATGGACACTACTCGGGGGCGGCAAAGAGGGGGGTGATGACTAGGGGGGGGGGAGATCATGGCGGGGGCCACGATTTTTCCCCAGCTTTCATGGCGCCTCTTCTTATTTCATTACGTCCCTGCCCCCCCCCCCCCGCTGGGCCGCGCACGTGCCGCCGGTCATGATTTGCACACACCCCTCTTGGACACCCCCCTCTTGGCCGCTCCCGAATTACCAGCGGCGGGCTGTTTTCAGTCCCAGAACTTTTTGAGGGTCGGGGACGGCGTCGGAGTGGTGTGGTGTATACGATTTCCCCGTTCCCCCGTTGAAGCGACGAAACATGTATACACCAGGATCCCGTATACACCAGGATCCGCTCTCTTGTGCGAATTTCAGTGCGGGGCCGTAGAAAACGTCGGTGTATAATAGAGTCCGGTCACTTAGTGTGAGCTTGTTTTCTTCAGATCCAGGCAAGAGTTCTTGCATGGTGTTCCCCCCCCTTCAGTCGCCCCCCGCCCCTCTTCAGTCGAACACAACAGCGTGCAGGTGCCTGTCGGCTCGCGCGACTCCCGCACGCCAAGTTGTTTTCCGGCCTGCTTCAGGCTCAGCCCCCCCCCCCTCCGTCCATGCAAGTCAGCTTGCCCGAGTCAAAAAAGAACAGGAGGAGGAGGAGGAGGAGGAGAAAGGGGAGAGGAAGAGGGAGAGGAGGAGGAGGGAGGAGGAGGGAAGAGGAGCACACAGGTCCCAGGCGTGCTCGCGCGGCTCAAGGGGCGCGGGCCTTCTCGGAAGGCTCGGAGGTCTCCCGGGATCGCGCACAGCAGCGACGATTCGGGGGGCGTTCCAGGGAGGCCCTCGCCTTCGAGGATCGAAGGTGGCCTCGGGGATCGCCTGCGAGGATCGATAACACACAAAAGCTTTAAACATAATATAATAGTATTAATAATAAAAATAATGATAATAATGATAATAATGATAATAACAATGATAATAACAATAATGATAAGGATCGAGGATCGCCTTCGAGGCTCGAGGATCGCCTGCGAGGATCGATAACACACAAAAACTTTAAACATAATATTATCACTAATAATAACAATAATAATCATAATAATGGTAATAACAATAATAATAAGAATGATAAGGATCGAGGATCGCCTTCGAGGCTTCGGCGGAAGTCGGCGGAAGGCCGCCAGAAGGCGTCGGAAGTAAACGATGGCGGCTCTTCCGGCGCAGGTGTGGCGGAAGGGTTTTAGGGGGCTCAAGAGTCGGGTATAGCCAGGGCCCCGGGTAAGGGGACCCGGTTAGTGGTAGGGCCCTGGGGCCCCTTAGTTGGCCAGATTCACTAAACCAGGTTTGCCGTAACTGGTGTTTTTCGGGTGACGGCAGTTCCGGTTAGCGGAACGGGGCGGGGGGGGGGCGCCTCCTGGTACGCATCACTAAACCAGGTTCCACTAAACCCAGCTCTGCCAACGCCCGAAAGAGGCGGGGGCCAATGGACACGGGGGTCGGCCACGGCGCCAGGTCTTGCCGGATCTTGCAGGGCCAGGGGTGCACTGACCCGGGATTGGGTGTAGGATTTTGCAGGACGTTGCAGGATTTTGCAAAGGCGCCCTCGAGGGCGCGAAGTTATTCGCGCTTCGCGGTTCGGCTTCGATTCCTCCTCATCCTCCTCTTCTCCCCTAAGAGGCGGCGCGGGAGCACGAAGTTATTCGCACTTCGCGCTTCGATCGGCGCGAAGCGCGAAGTTGGGAGCCCTTGATTTTGCAGGTTCTGACTGACTGAGCCGGGTCTGGATTGACCCAGGTCGGAGGATCCCCGGACGAGGCCGCCTCCGCCGGCGGAAGGGTGGTGCAAGCCAGCGGAAGTAGAAGTTGCGCCCCCAAGAGATGAAAACGGTTTGGGGCTCAGGGTCTTCAAGGGCGCCCTCGAGGGCGCGAGGTTATTCGCGCTTCGCGGTTCGGCTCCGATTCCTCTTCCTCCTCTTCTCCCCTGGGAGGCGGCGCGAGAGCGCGAAGTTATTCGCACTTCGCGCTTCGCGCAGCGCGAAGCGCGAAGCTGGGAGCCCTTGGGTCTTCGGTATCGGCAATTGTTTCCCACGTTTGGTTATCACGTCGGATCTGCAGACAAATGCGTACACGTTCGCGGATCTCTGCAAAAGTTCTGCGCATGTTCCATGGACTCGACGAGGCAGATCAATTTGTGGGCGGATGCATTACCAGACCCCCGACGTCGTGATTTTTGTCACAACGCCGACCCCCAGAAGTCAGGCACTCTTCCCAGGGACCGGTCTTTCCTCCTGAGTCGATTCAGGATGAAACATTGGTTTTTCATCCCGTGTCGACTCAGGATGAAAAACCGTCAAAGCGATCGTTTTTGACGTTCCTGGGGCCCAGCAAGGGTTCCAGGAGGCCGAACATAGCGAACAACATCCCGTCGCGATTTCTTCACAACTCGAGGGGGTCGGGTTCTGCAGTCGATGCGAGGGCTTGATTCTTTTGTCAATGCGCGGTCCCTGGAAGTCCCGACCATTCTCTGGGACCGATTTCTCATCCTGAGTCGTTGTTTGACGGTCTCGAGGCCCAGCGGGGGCCTCCAGAGGCCGCGAGCAGCCAAAAACCTCCCGCCGTGATTTTGTTTCCAGGGCGCGATCTCATGCCTGGGCTCTGTACTCGATGCTCGCCTGGCGGTGAACCCCCGTGGCACTGCACCCGAGCGGCGGCCGCCGCGCGAGCGTCTGGGCCGGCCCCGACGACCATCCAGTCGGCCTCGGCGGGGCTCTGCCTGGCCGCCGCGGGCGCGGGCTGGCGCGGCGCGCCCGTGCGGCTGCTGCCCTGTGCGCCCGGCGCCGGCGCGGAGTTCACCTTGGATGCCGCGGGTCTCCTGTCCCAGACTATCGGGGGCGGAAACGAGGGGGGTGATGACTAGGGGGGGGGAATCTCATGGCGGGGGCCATGATATTTCCCTAGATTTCGCGGCGCTTCTTCTTATTTCATTACGTCCCTGGCCTCCCCGCTGGGCCGCGCACATGCCGCCGGTCATGATTTGCACCCCCCCTTCTTGGACACCCCCCTCTTGGTCGCTCCCGAGACTAGGGGAACGAAGAATGACATAAACATAAAAACTCGGAGGTCCGCGCGGATTTCCCGGATCGGCGCCTCTGTCGCCGCCCCTGGCGCGATCCGCGCGCCAGGGAGGGGGGCCCAGCGCCGATCCGAGAAGTCTGCGCGGACTCCCGAGTTTTTTTGCTTACACCCCCAGGACGAAAGTTTTTTCTTTTTGGGCCTGGAGCGACGGTTCGAAGTCTTGAGCAGACGCGTATGGGATAACCGCCGTGGAATCCAACGAAGTTCGCGCGGATCCAATGTTGGTTTCGATTTCTGTTTCGGTTGGTCCGAGTTCCGTCCCCGCGGATCCGATTTCGGATTTCCTGGATTCGCGTAGCGTATTTGGTTCACGGCGGATCCGATTTCTACACCGTTTTTTTTTTGTTTTTCCTTTTTTTTTGTTTGTTTTTTTGTTTTAAAAAATAGTATTATTAATAGTATTATTATTATACATATATACATATCTATATATATAATGTTTTAATTACAACGGGGAGCCAGAAGAAATCGAATCCGCGGACCCCGGAACCCGCCCGTGTTAAGATTCTACGGGGGAAGGGGGGGATCAATTTTCCGCGAGCTCGGGTCCCACTCAACATGGATACGTCTCTCTCCTCCCGGTTGCTGCACGCAGCTCGTCCAAATGCCGCCCGTTCAGCGTTGCCGATGTTATCTCGCGAACTCCTCATCGACATTCTCACGTCACGAGGAGAACCTCTCGTCCTGCGTAGGTGTGTCATTCTTCTTTCCCTTACAGACATCATCGCGTCGTGGGAAAGATCACGACGGGAGGTTTTGGCCATTTTCGGCAAGTAGGGGCCCTCGCCAGGCCTCGGGACCTTAGTGGGCCCCAGAAGCGGCAGGGCCGTTTTTGCGCCGTTTTCGAAAAAGTGTCCCTTGAAAATGTAGACGGCCAGAAAAACGGCGACCAGAAACGGCAACAAAACGGCTCCAGGATTGGAACCGGAGCGGGAACCCGTAAAAGAACGGCGACGGAACCGGTAAAAAAACG